CTTCTTGTTTTCTTCCTTCCTGTGACTATTTCACTATGGCTACACGTGCCTGTCATTGCAGATACGGCGGTGACAACAGCCACACACGTGCAGAGCTGACCCTGTCCCTGCAGATACGGCGGTGACCACAGCCTTGGTGGCACCCATGCAGAGCTGACCCTGTCTTCAGGGAGGGCAGAGACCAAGCACATAATCCCACAAACAAATAAAGTGATACCCTCTGATAAATGTCACAGCGAAGCCGTGGGGGGATGAGACGACTCTGCGGTTAAGGGCACTTGCTGCCAAGCCTGATGACCTGAGTTCCATCCTGGGCACCCACGTGGTGGGTAGAAGCAAATTGTGTTGGGGCGCTACACTCTGCCCGTGGGGGAAATAGCGAGGAAGATCTAGCAAGGGGAGGGATGATTTAGACTTCTAGCACAGACCTCTCTAAAGAAAGAGACTACTTGAAACTTGAAGCTTAAAAAAATAATTAATAAAATAAAAGAGATTATCCAGGATCAAGAGGTGGTGACCTTGGGGTGTGTGTCTGTCATCTGTCTGTCTGAGGAAGTGGAAATCATGCTCACTCTGAGCTAAAGAACAGCAGACAAAGGCCCTGAGCTGTAAAGGTGTGACGTGGGAGAGGAATGGACTGAAGGCGAGGCAGTGGGAGTATCCAGTTTCGGGGGTGGGGTGGGGAGCAGGGGTGGTACTGGCACTGGGAAGAAGAGCCCGTGGGCTGTGGGCATCTTTTGGATCATTCTCTGGACTACACTGATAGGCCCAGAGTAGCCAGGTATTAGCTGAGGCTTAAGTAGATTTGACTGCTTCCCTGAAGACTTCTCTGACCACTCTGTGGAGACTGGGCTGCAGTTCTTCAGGTGGGGATATGACAGCATGTCTAACCACAGCACAGCCATAGAGCATGACGGTAGGAGCCAACTGTTCAGGTTTGAAGCCCATGGTTCTCTGTTATCAGCTGTGTGACTTTGGGCAAGCAACTCAGACTTTCTGTGCCCCTCTTTATTCACGTGTCCAATAATCCGGGGACTGGTCAGAGTGCAGAGTGTGTCTGGGGGATGCTCAGTGACAAATAGGACACTTATATCACATCCTCTCTCCTCGAAGCCCAGAGACTGTAACAAGGACAGAAAGCCCATAGGAGCCTGAGGACCAGAGTGGAGACAGTGTCTTCCAGACGTGACTGGATGGCTGCACTCAGGAACCCACACCAGCTGTGCATGCTTTCACTAGATCTAGCCAGTCAATGTTCCAGCATGGAGGAAGGGGAGCCCGTGAGCCCTGACTCAGAGCTGAGGAGCTTTTAACAGCTGGTGGCTCCTGGGGGGAGAGAGAGAGTTGTCTTTAAGGGGGTGGCCCCTCATGGGTAGACCCTGATCCAGGGTGTGGTCCCACACCCAGGAGTATGTGGGCAGTACAAATGACACTCCTTGGGTAGGATGTTGGTAGAGGTAGATGAATCTAGGAGGTGTTGGGGGTTGAGTGGGAGGTTTATGATCAAAACACATTGACATGAAATATATACATAGATGAAATTCTCAAACAATAAAAACTGCTGTGGAATAATCATCTTGTACACTGTAAAGATTTGTCACTTGAATTGGTTTAATAAAATACTGATTGGCCAGTAGCTGGGCAGGAAGTTATGTGGGAAAGCCAAACTGAGAATGATGGGAAGAAGAAGGGTGGAGTCAGGAGTCGCCAGACAGACAGAGAGGAAGCCAGATGAGAACGCTGCACTGAGAAAAGGTACCAAGCCATGTGGCTCAACATAGATAAGAATTATGGGTTAATTTAAATGTAAGAGCTAGTCAGTAATTAGCCTGAGCCACTGGCCAAACAGTCTATAAGTAATACTAAGCTTCAGAGTCAATCATTTAAGAAGTGGCCGCTGTGTATTTGAGAACAGGTAGACAAGAGAGAAACTTCCACCAACATGTGGAATCCAAACATTTGGCAACAATTCCCACATAAAACCTGAGAAAGCTTAAAAAAGGATTCTAAACACAAAAACAAAGTCAACACAGCTTCGTGGTAGGCTCTGTTTGCTAGCGGTGAGCAGAGGGGTGGTTCCTTTAAGAGACAGTGTCCTGACTCAGCATTAGCAGCAAAAACCAGCAGCTCTTTTAAGAGGCCCTGCTGCCAAACACTTATATAGTATTTATGAGCAACCAGCACTGCATACTACCCAGTGGCGGCATGGACCTAAAACCTCCCCAGAGTTGGGGGTGATACACCTGGCTCCTGCCAGTACCTCTGCCATGAAGCTAGACTCTTAGGAAGCCAAGGAATGGGGTAAAGCCAGCTGCTTAATCCTAGCCATGCCTGCTTAGCAGATTAAATGCTTATGTTGTCAGAAAAAGATAGAGATATTCAGTAAAGACAGATTCAGACCAAAACAACAACAAAACAAAACAAACCAAACAAAAAACTCTAAATGGTTAACAGTGTGTTTAAAAATGTATGTAGGCTTGGGAGAGAAAAGAGAAGGTATAGACAGTCATAAAAAAAAAATATATGGTTTTAAAATAAATAATAAAGTTAAGTCCTTAAAAAGGGAGTAAAGTAATATTTTAAAAAGCCACATAAAGATGGAAATACACAGAGAGTCTGGATACTGCATGTTATTGTGTGGTCTTTGAATGGTTTGACTGCTGAGGAAGGAGTAACAGCTGCTGAGAGACATTTGATTATAAATGTTGCTGGATTAATCCAACCTATATATTTTAAAAATATCTTGACTTCAAACTTTAGTCAAAAGATGTGTTACTTTGGGAAAGAGGTTCTGCTTTCATCTCCACAGGAAGTGAGAGGCTCTGGATTCATTCTGGGTTAAGAAAAATCATGTTTGATAGAGGAAGACCCCTTGAAAAATCTCCAGTAGGAACAGATGGTCCAGATGAGCCAATGTTTCAGAGCACCTCTGATACAGTTTCCTCTGAGTTCTGCATCTAGAAAGGCTTCAAGGCTGCTGGCTGAGATGACTCAACCTCACAGATTACTCTAATCAGGATTTGACCATAATCCTAAATTTTCTCAGGGTCCCCATAAGATTATCAGCACCCCAAATCAGCAGGAAGTACTCAAGAGAACTATACCCACATTCCCAAAATAAAATATGAATATTTGTCATTGTTTAGGGGGGTTGGTTACAAGTTGTTATGGATAATGATCAGGAAAAACACTAAACAAAGGAGATTAGATTCAGGGATCTTGTTCTGAAAATAAAAGGGAGAATATAGAAATGATAGGATAAAAGGGCAAATTATTGAATCTACTTTAATCCAAAGACAACTATTAATCTTACACATTTTATATTAGTATGTATTTTTGTTTATTGATACAAAGTTAAAGTTAACTTTATTATACCATACATATATTTCTACTTTTGTTTAGGGTATTATGTTTATACAGCTCATTTAAAAATATAATATATAATCAAGAAATATAACTTAATAGTCATCTTAATAGTCAAACTTATAGTCATGTTAGTTAGGTTTCTAGGTATACAGAGATATATTTCAAATGGATGGGTAATCTTCAAACCCTTCAAAGAACTACAGAATATGACATTTAAAATGTTTTAAGAGCGTAGGATTTTCAT